GCACACACAGACACTCTATGAAAAATGAGGTATTAGAGCTGATTAGCAACATTGCTTGCTGAAAGGGAAGAAGAATTGAAGCTTTCAGTAATGAGAATCATAGAACCTTCAGAGACAAAAAGAGTAAACAATCTTTCTACCACTAACTTCTCAATATCTATCTGCAAACCTCTATGGTGGTGACTAGGGGAGGTGCTTAAGCAAGTGTACACCCCAACCCACTATTGGAGGCTTCTACAGTACACCCACACAATTTTATTTTTGTTTCAAAGTGGAGGTTCTTGTCTCTGCTTTTATATTGCTTCTACTTTTGGACCTTTTACCACATATTTTTCCTGGAGGTGGGAGCTTTTTCTCCCTACATTACCCAACAAAAGAAAACAATCATGGTCATATAGCCAAGCTACAAGCATACCCCATAATATTCCACCAGTGAGACAAGATCCAATAATAGCTGCTAAATATTATATGGAAAAAGAGAAGCCTTTCTCCTGATCATATCCACCAGGAGACACCCAATAAGCTTAATAATACAACAACAATGATCCACTTAAGCATTATAAAAACATATAACTATTGGAAATGACAAAAAATAACAAAAGATATAAAAATATGTCCAAAACTAGAAGAGAGTAGCTGAGATGAATGAGCTGGAGACAGACAAAGGCTTTCTATAAGAGGAAGAGTGGGTTTTGGATGTGCCTGAGAAAGAGTTCAGAAGAATGATATGAAAACAAATTCAAATACTCTGAAAAAGGGTGGAGGAAAACAAGGAAGAAGTCAGGAAAGTACTACAAGAGCAATCAAAGAAGATTGATACAGCATTGGAAACTATTCAAAACCTGCAAAAAGAGGTCCAGATGATTAATAATAAAATATCAGAAATGCACAATACACTGAAAGGGGAAAGGCGCAGAATAGAAGAGATGGAAGCCAGAACTAGTGAACTGGAAGACAAATTTTTCAATACTGCTAAGATAGAAGAGCAAGCTGAAATAAGGATAAAAAAAATCTGAAGAGAGTCTAAGACTCATGCTGGAAAACATGAAGAGGAACAACTTAAGAAATATTGGCATTCTAGAACAGGAAGAATCAGAGAAGTCCACAGAGGAGATAGTTGAAGAGCTTCAGGAAAAAAATTTCCCTAACATCTTGAAAGATGAGAAGATGAACATTCAAGGAACTGAATGTACCCCAGGAAGGGTAGACCCCAAAAGAAAGTCACCAAGACATATAATAATCAAGCTCTCCAAAATCAAAGACAAGGAGAGAATACTAAAAGCAACCAGGGAGAAGAGAAGTGTCACTTATAAAGGCAAGCAAATCAGATTAAGCTCTGACTATTCCGAACAAACCAAGTAGGCAAGAAGGCAATGGGGAGACATATACAAAACTCTAAAAGAAAAAAAAAATCTGCCAACCTAGAATCATCTATCCAGAAAAACTATCAATCAAATATGATGGTGCAATCAAAACATTCCAGGATAAAGAGAATCTGAGAGATTTTAGCAAAGCAAGTCCAGCACTTCAAAACAATTTAAAGGGAGTTCTTTGGACTGAAAACCAACAATAACAGACAACAACCAGAGATTGACAGG